TCAGTCCGGTTCTTATTCCACCGGCAAGTCAGACTAAAATGTTACATCAGGACACACACTCACACTTCCTTCCGTCTGGCCGAAGGACCCCTGATGAGCATTGATTACTCCATCATCGTGGAGGGATTGACCGTCAGCTTGCCTTGCTTCTTCCACCTTTCCTCTCAGGTCCACATCATGAGCCTATGTCTTTGTTAAACCCAAAGACTGCAACGGGTTAAGTATACATTATTCCACGAGTGATGAGTTAACCCGGCCGGCGTACCCATATGCCGGCAAAACCCGTGTGACTGTCTGACATTATAAAAAAATAAAAATAAAGAGCAAGAAAGGTAAAAGAAGCTACATAGGATGCAGACTTGGAAATTGCCCTTCAATATTATGTGGTCAGTGATGGATCTTGTCTGTCTGCTGGCTGGGAACTCTGCCTTCTCCACCCTGCTTCTGAGTCGTGCCAGTCTTCCACCGTATGCAAAGGTCATTTATCTCTGCGACTTCGCCCCCTGCGAGCCACACCTTAGTTAATTTTGCCTTGTTTTTTTCTCTGTTGCTCTTCGTCATCTTGCATGGAGTGTCTCGTCTTATGCCACTTGCAGAGAATCTCAGCCTGGATCAAGGTCCTCGTCTCCGCCCATACCTTCTCCCTTGGAGTTGGGATTCCCTCGATCGTCCTGTAGCACCTTTCCTTCCATATGGACCACATACATCGTTACCTTTCTGATCATTCCGAACCATGTTCTCTCTGTCTTATGGAATTGGGCTGGGATGTTAGTCCATAGAAGAAGTCGGATGGGGTGTTCGGGGAGGGGGGTCGAGAAGAGGGAATCCCAGAGATCCGAGGACCTCGCCCAGTATTCCGTCGCCTCTCTATAGCGTACCAGACAATGTAGCATATCTTCTGGTTCATTTTCCGAACATACCGTACATAAATCTGAAAAAAAAAAATAAAAAAAAAATCTGAACTGTTGGGGTCGTTTTTACGTCTTCAGGTATGCAGCCACTGATTAACCGGTAGAGCCACTTAAGAGATGAGCCATTGGAGGCTTCTGATTTTAACCGGACGGATTGATTTGAATTTTTTCCATGGAATTTGTGGGATCAGACTAGCTGCAAAGATTTCTAAATATTCACCGCTGAAACAAACTACTCTAGCAAAAAAAAACTATGGCGAGTGGCCACCCCTACAGACTGGACATGACCGGTTCGGGTGTGGGCTATGGAAGCACTGCATCCAATTTTTGCAGTCACAGTTGCTGCATTGAATGGCACGGCGCAGACAGAGTGTGTGTGTGTGTGTGTGTGTGTGTGTGTGTGTGTGTAAAACGGCCTGACCTGCCATCGATGAGGTATCCACCGCACGCCATTCCACTTAGTGATCCTGAAAAACGATCTTCGACATTCTCATCCAACCTGTTCCCGATAACTCTGAAAAGGCATCCTGAACAGTTGAGCATCACACCGAAGCGCACACGGCACACAAGACAGGGAAAAGACAAGAATCAACAGCATGGCAAAAGCAGTGAGGCAACACATCGGATGGAGGGCACGGGGGAGGCGGGAGGGCACAAGACCCAAGCGCACATGCAGCACACAGGACAGGGAAAAGACAACAAGCAACAGGCAAGAAGAGTACAGTACCAAAACCCAAACACCGAAAAAAAATAAAAGCCGATGATGATTGATTGTTTTGTCGGAGTTGCACCGACTCGTCAAGACGCTGAACCCTCAACAATCTGCAGAATCCCTGTATTGATGATTTAGGGTTATGGACCTTTTGACCCTCGTTGGAAGCAGACCGTCCTCAAACGGAACACAGCAGCGGGCAGCAACTCAGCGAAGCACCAGGCAATGCTGCGGAGGCAACACAACTGCATAACGCCAAAAACAACTGCATGGACGACAGGGCAAGCAGATTCACAGCACAGCAACAGTGAAGTGAAGCACAAGGGAACACCAACAATGCAGCCAAACTACACGGCACACAAGAAAAAGACGCAGAAGGCAAGGCATCGGATGAGCGGCAAGGCAGCGGAGCAGCGAAGCACAAGGCAACACCAACACCAACACCACACCACACGTGAGCACAGAAGCCACACCGAACAACATGCAAAGCAAGCAGGGCGGGCAGCAAGGCAGCGGCAGAGCGCACATAAGGCAGTCTACACATCCAACACGGAGCAAAGCGGCATATCACCTACTCACATCACTAGTGAACCCTGCGAACTGTTCGTTCCCACCACACACTGAGCCGGGGAGTCCGACGGACGTCTGTCATCGCCCATCGACCATATGCACCACACAGACACCAGAGCGGGTCCCCTAAGAGGCCTGCAGGCACTCCAAGAACCGGACCACCTACTATTTCACATTTCTTAAAGGTTAAAAGGTGCCCACTCAAACACACAGAAGAGGAAAAGCGGAGAAAGGACAATCAACAAGCAAAAGACAGGCATACATAAAACTGATTGTGTGTGTGTGTGTGTGTGTGTGTGTGTGTGTGTGTGTGTGTGTGTGTGTGTGTGTGTGTGTGTGTGTGTGTGTGTCTGTCTGTGTTTTGTTTCTTTGTTGTATTCAGAAAATCAGCAGACTTTTCTTGAACAGGGTTATGGACTGAAGAGGACGAACCAAGATTGAGACTTTAATTTGTTGATAACCCGCGTGATTGAGATCAACACCAATGACCATCCTTGGATCAACAGATCTGGCTTGCATCAGCGGCTTTGAAGGAACTATGGCAACTTCTCATGAGCTTTCAGAACATGCCAGCAACTATCAGGCTATACTTTGTTTGCACACGATCAGAGGATTGGTTGGAGTCAACCATCTGCTAGAAGCCCCATCAACATTCATCTGCTTGCATACTGCCGGGAAGAGCAGGAAGCAGACGGTGAGAGTGACTGATCGAGTACGTGTGTGTGTGTGTGTGTGTGGATGAGAGAGAGAGAGAGAGAGAGAGAGAGAGAGAGAGAGAGAGAGAGAGAGAGAG